TAAGTTGATGTGGCTCCAGACGCCTCTGCGGTCTCAGGCCACCATGGAAAGGTGGGTGTCCCGTGTGGTGTCCTAAATTCATCCTGCTGATCTCTTGGAGAAGTGGGTGCAATGTAGCGGTAGTGTGCAACTACATGTCCCCCGCCGCGGCAACATGGGCATGTTGGGTTTTCTTCCCTCAATAGGATGTCAGTCCAACAGCCCTCATGGTAGGTATGTCTGCAGGTCAATCGCACCAATTGTTCCCCTGCATTATACTCTTCCAAACAGATGCTACAGCGATGCTCATCCCCTAAGTATTCAGCATTGGGTTGTCCGACATTTGGAGTTACCATGGGTTCTGTGGGATTATTCGAGGGTGTTACTGTGTGGGCCGGATTCACCTCACTCCTCGAACCTTCCGATTCACGAGTCCTCATCTCCTGCAGTGTCATCATCGTCCGGTGCTGATGATGAAGAGCACGTACCTGCGGATGATTGAATGCTGGCTCACTGACCCTTTCTGATACTCTAGAAGCTATTGGGATCTCACGCAACTGGTTTGCTTGATGAAATTCCCCCACAACTTGACTACGGATCGTGTCAAGTGTGCTGATAGCATTCTCTGAGACAATCGGATGATAGGTCGGTGCACGCACTTCCGAGGCAGTCCCCTGCAAGAAATTAAACTCGGGCATCAATGCCCATTCTGGCAACTCCGGGGCCGGATGTTGTAGGATCACTGTTGGGATCTCCCCTTGTCCCACGATCAGTGGGTGTTGCGACACTTCGTGCCGTTGGACCGGTGGCAACTGCATTGGTGGTGGTTGCATGTTTTGGGCAACATATGGTTCTTGAATAGTAGTCGATTCTGCAACAGGTTGCTGTGAAAATGGTTCATTGTTTACATTTCTGCCCTGTGGATTAGTGGGGTTATTCTGGGGAAGGTTATTCGTTGGATTAGTGGCTAATGGGGTGTTATAGGTAAATTGGTTCATCACTGGCGGTCCGAAAGATCGTGGTTCAGTGGTCGGATGCATCAGGCCATTCAAGCCATTGAAGACACTCTGCATGTACAAGGATTGATCGGCCATATCCACTGCCCGGGTCGTGCGCGGCAGTGGTGGCATAGGATTCACAATCCCCCCAACGACCTGTCTCCCCGTCCTGCTCTCGTTGTACCGCCTCCAAGGATCACTATTGGCCCACGGGTCCTGAGGTGCTGCTGGCAATGTGGATGCATTAGATGGGGGTCCACCAGAAACTGTCGACCAATGATCAGTTCCGGATTCTTGTCCAACATTAGCATCTACTTCATTGACCATGAGGACCGTGGTTGATGTGATTACACCTGGGGGAATCTGGTCGGCGGTGTCCAAGTCTACGAACAAGTTCTGAGACGAGTCATTGGCTGCAGCCCGTCTTGGGCACTTGGCAACCAGATGATCCTCCGAACCACATTCGTGGCATCTCATTTTACGTCCATCCGGGCCTCTTGGATTGCCCTTTCTGCCCTTACCCTTGCCACTCCCTGCCCCTTTCTTTCCACCTTTTGCCCTAAAGGCAGGGAAAATTTCCATGAGCTGGGATTCATTGAGTTCGGACAAATAAGATGAAGTGTTGATGATCTTGCCTTTGGGTTTTCCATGTTTTGACTTACCACCTTTTCCACCTTTATAGATGGCTCTGCGGGCAAACCTCCGAGCTTTTCGGGTCGGCTTGCCCATGAATGACCTCCAACGTGCCTTAGCACGGGAATAGGCCCAGTAGAGCTCGGCAGCCTGCTCATTGGCCGTGGCACCCTCAGCAGCTGGCCAGGCTTCTTCGCCATAGTCACTGCTGGTGTCAGTGTCTGTGCCACTGTCACCCTGACCCTCTGACAAATACACGTATGGATCTTGCGGCGGTGTATAAGTGGGGTATGCTTCGGATGAATGCCATTGGGATTGCCAAGAACTCTGGTCATGCCAAGAACTACTGGGTTGGTCATTCTGTGATGTGAATACATTTTCATTCCATGAGTGCTCGTCCTGAATATGGTAACTGTGTGTTGGATTTTGTCTACCCCGCAACATGTTGGACATATTTCCTGGTGCATTTTCAATGATCCTACCCATGCGTCGAATGGCACCTTTCAACTCCGTGAACTGCTGTTCATCAGCAGGGAGAGCACCACCGAGTGGCTGCAGTAGTTGGATCAATTGAGAATCCGAGACACCAACTGCACGGATCAGCAACCAAGAAAGACCAGCATAGCTCAGGGCGAGCCCACCTGTCTCTGCCGCACGCATGCGGGTAGTATCAAACCTAGTCAGCAGCATGTCGATCCTTTCATTGGATTCCCTTCCAAATGACAACAGATCTCCTACTGCCCCTAGCCGGACTTCCTCACCTAGCCTGGCAAATCGGGTGCTAAGTTGATACATCAAAAACGTTAGTGGGTCGGTTTGGGTACCATTTACGGTACCCCCTGTCAGGATGGTCTGGGGCGGAAGTGTCCTGCTGAATTCCCTGGCTGATCCCTGCAGTTGAGAAATCACACTAGCCGCCTTTCGAGATGCATCCCCATCTGTAGCAATGCTCCAAATTAAGATGTCCCTAGACCAAGTACTGAAGCTATACTGATGCTCCATTTCTGGGCTCCATGCGGGGGGCAATCTTGGATGGCTACTCCTTCCTGGCACCATGCAAGCCACTAATGCACATGTGCTGAGGCCGCCTCCAGCGGCTAGCACCAGTGTCGAGTCCGAGAGCGATCTACCATCACGGTGACCAGCGGTCATCGAACCCGAATTGCCATGGGCTTCAGGAGACTTCACCTTCCGATTGCCTGCTCTCGATCCGTTCATGCAATGTTTCCTGGATCTAATGGCTGCATCTTTCCCATAGACCAGCTCACAGAGTTCCATGTGACGGGACTTTAGATGTTTCAGCTTAGAGTCGTACATGGTTAGCAATCTTTCAAGTACCGATCTCTGCTGCCGTCTAAGCCGCCTACGCAAAAGCTCTGCCCTACGCTGATCTCGAGGGTTCATCTTGAACAGGGTCGAATTCAGCTCCTGCCTCCAAAGATCCCCATTCACCAGGCTGGGCTTGTACTCGCCTTCGGACCTGGCCTGTACTGGGGCTTTGCGACCATTGCTCGCTGCATACCAGTGTGTAGTGACACTGATCGAGCCTGCCCCAACCGCACTGGACTGGATCACAAGAGCGCTGGTGTTGCGACTCTTGATCACCAGCCCAGTACTGGCTGAGACAGACCCCACCAGTGCCACTACTAACACGGCACACAACTTCAGCACGGCGGTGAACATGATGACAATCAATGGAGTAAGGATGAAAAGAAATGAAAACAGTCGAGTCGACCCTTAGGGTATAGCAGATACCTTAAATGGGGGTTACTGCCGGGGTTCCCGGCTCCGCTACCAACTCGAAAAAGAGAGGAACTAAAGTGACAAAGAAGTACTGTTTCCGCAAATGTCTGTTTTCCTCTGTCCGCTTGTGACGAAGTCTTGTGTTTACCTAGGTCGAGTTCTAGAGCCAGAACAGTTACATGGATAACAATGAACCTGAGGCATGGTAGATCATGTACCTTTCAAGTAGATACGCCAGTTGAGACGGCCAAGGAAGTAGGAATGTCCCCCATGTTCATCCATGTCCAAGTGGATATTTCATGATATTTCATCTTCCATGCTGGTGATCTGAGACTGCTACACTCCCCATCCGGGCAAAATCCACCGTCCAGGCCTCACAACTGCGAGTTCAACCACGAAAAATGCAGGACTTACAGTAACTGATTTAGGTCTGAATAATATAACAATTGGGCTGGTGAACCTAGAAATGTCAGTGGGTTGACTATCGCGGCTGCCAGGCTGCCACAGAAAACATCAGCCCAACGAATTATGTGGAGCAAGGGGTTATAGTAAAATGGTCGGTGTGCGAAAATCATGGTTCTCAAAAGCGACTTTTGAAATTATCTGCCTACGCTTTCCAAGCTGTATTTGAATGCGTCCAAGAATGGAGATACCTCTAAATCCGCCGAAGCTGTGTACTGAATGGGGGGCAACCCTGTTTTGGGGGCCATTCCTATTTCACCCTATTTTATTGCTGCGCCCGGAGACTGTCAAATGCGGAAGTCCATGCGATCAGGGAGAGAACCAGTTGCCTGAGCACAGCCCTTTGGCAGGTGACACCAGGACCTTTCGGATGGGACTTGATATGACTTAGATATCACCAAACTGTGAGTTTGGGGTTTGGGGGACCCCAAAATTTAACCCATACCTGCCTCAATGCTGGTTTCAAGCCTCTCGTAACAAGATCGGCCACTAAGGCAAGCACCATCGCACAAACATCAAGTAGAAGTCAAGCTATCAAACATCCAGTCAAGGTTTTTGATTCCATGAACACAAGCAGTTTGTGTGGGTCTTTGGAATTCAAAACCTGGGTTTCGGAGGATTTTTCAAGCTGTTGTGTCTTCGCTTTTTTGCTGTGATCTAAAGACGTCTTGAAGTACGGAACGACCTCCCCCTTGAGTGGCAAGGCCGCGAACCCAACTGGCTTCAGATGCCATGCAATTGGCTAAGGCTTTCCAGTTTCAACTCATCCAAAACCTGGAAATTGGTCTGTCCCAAAATTTCTGAAGCTCTCGGTCTGCATAATACACCAAGACCATGCAGATCCGGGAGCTTTGTCAATTCTTGTGATAGTTCCAGCAGTGAAATTCTCCCACGGCCATGGCGGCCAGATCAGCCAGTGAGTTTTCTCGGAGAGCACGAAGCTCGGGGTGAAACAAAGCAGCGCACGGATCTTTCGTGGCTTTGCATGCGCAGTGTGAAACCAACTATTCTCGAGCACTGGCCCCCATGGGTTTGTCCCAAAATTGGAACCCCTAACAAATGTCAAACAAATATTGATTACAATAGTTACAATAGTTTGTTCTAAGCTGAGTCCAAACACATGCCTTGACCTTTGACATTGAGACATACCCACCTTGGCAGCGTTTCTACAGATGCGGCGTTGACTCAGTATTGCCCTGATGCCTCCTCATCCAGATTTGCGCTCACTGAAAACGGCAAGAATCATTTGGGTTTCAAGAAAAAACTTTGGCAAAAAACATGATTGATTTCCTTTCGATTTTCCCTTGAACCAAGCCATTGAAAGACTGCTGTACGTTTTTTTGCCACCATCCGAGATCTGCACAGCAGGAAAGAGCTTGTCGTACAAAAACCTCGGAAAATGTGTCCAGCATGGACCAGCCTCCAACAGTGCCGTTTCAAAAGCGGTTTTCCCCCTTTATGGGTGGCCTAATCCATCAATGTAAGCTGGGTTAGTTCAACCCGTTCCAGCATGAAAGTCAATTGGAATCATCAATCATCATCCCATCCTTTTCCGGGGAAGATGAAAAACAACTTCAGTAAATTCCAGGTACTAAACAACTAGCGTTGTTGGCATCCCCATCGGTTGCTAACTCTATCCTGTTGTATCCCCATCGGTTGATTAGACCACACCACGCCTCAAAAATACTGAGGCATCCCACTGCAGAACATGTTCGCTGCTCAAAAGCAGCTCTACCACCTCCACAAGCGAAACATCCCAGTTGGAACTTATCTGGTCGGTAAGTGGGCCATGTTTTTTCACCGTGATAAAATGAGTTATAACTTGTTATAACCTATTTAACTTATATAACGTATATTACATAACCTTATGAAACATCATCTAGGGGGAGGGGATCATATCCAAAAAAAACATCCGCCGTGCCTTACGCCGATCCGTGACGGTAAAATCATCCAAGGTGGGCTGTTGTGCCTCGGGCTCCACTTTGTGGCATGGCAGATGTGAACCGACGGCAGAATCTCCGGTAGGGCCAAGGCTTCTATATACAATCTTGATACATGTCTATGTCGTGTGTACATAGACATATATATATATATGTATTGGTATGACTTATATATATGACTTACATAGATATATGACTTATATATATATGACTTACATAGATATATGACTTATATATATATGACTTATATAGATATATGACTTATAGATATATATATATGACTTATATATATATATATGTATGACTTATATATAGATATATGTATATTTATAAAAAAAAAAAAAAACACTTATAGGAAGTGACAAGGCCATCAAAACCTCTGGGATCTTGGGATCATCCCATGCCGAGGAAAGTCAAACCATGTAACTTGACCATGGCAAATGGTTGGTCGTTGCATATCATCCCGTTGTATCCATGAATTGTATCCTCATTCATTGACTATATCAATGGATTGACTTAAGGGAAAATCTACAGGAAACCATGGTTTTTACCATCAAATATAAGGGTTTCCTGTAAATTTTCCCATCATCCAGTTCTATGACTATATTCATGGCAGATATGGCCGAAAGCCAGGAATCTGCTTGTCGACCTGGACTTCCTCAGTGCCCCACCAGCTTTGCCACTTGAGGTGGAAGTGTCTCGGGGTAACCTCGCCCTTTTGCCTCAGCTGAGCTGAAAATGTTGATATGCTTCAGATGGTAATCTGGGATCCATGTGTAATCCATGATCAACCATCAAGTATCTACAATCTGGTGGCTATGAAATGAACCATCCCAAGTAGTAGTATACCCAGTAATAAACGACTAATTAAGGATGGCTTTTGGCACTGTGGGTCCCCCCATTACACCTTTAAACCCCCAAAATCGTCAAGACAAACGCTCCCCTTTTCACACCAGTTTCTGACCACAAAAATCAGAGGTGAAAGAGTCAAAACCATCAGAAGTTGTGGCCACAATTCAGAGGTCCAAAAGTCAAAACCATCGAAAATTGCGGGTCTTTGGGGGTTCCAAATGGCATGTCTCCTCCATCTGCACCCGGCGATCGATTTCTGGCGCCCTGAGAGCAGAACCTCCGGTCCTCGCAAGGCCGACCGCTGCTCAAGGGCCAACTTCCGCCGCTCAGAAATGTCGCCCTTCACCTCAATGGGTTGACGAGGAAAGGGATTACATCAGCATTTACTTAGAAATAGGGTGTCATATGGGTATGGATCAATACCTATTAATATCATTTTTAGTGGGATGAACATCCATTTACCAGCTATTTTGATGTTCACCAGGGGTACAAGGTTTTGACACACTGCCATATGGTGTCATTCCAATCAACTTCCTACTCACTGTGCCTGAGACTTCTGAATTTCTGGCAGCACCGAGATAAAAAAGGCAAAAACCCTGTCTGGCCCATCACTGCCCCCACCTGCTCTACGCACTCAATGAAGAAGGCCTCCCGCTGCTATTCTGGTTACTGAGGCATCCATCCCAACAAGTCCTAGTCAATTGAGACGTTCATGGCATTGCTTGGCTTCAGAAATCTAAAAAACATGTGGTAAACGCAATTGCGAAGCCATAGTATTTTGAAGCCCAATTGGTAAAAATATGGTACATTTTGTTTATTGCCAGGGTTTACACTTGAGGTTGTCCAAGAAAACAAATACACCCCAAAATTGGCATGAAATAGCGGTGGAAATCATGTTGTAAACCGCAAAAAAAATGATGGTTTTCCTGCGTCTGAAAATGGGGAAACTTATGTTCATTTTCAAACCATTGGATTTGCGGAGTTTCCCATCTTTCAAACCAATGTGGTAAACCCAAGCCGTAAACTATCCCCAATCGGAGGTTTATTTAATCCCGGCCCCAAAATGAATAGATCCAATACTAAACGTTGCTTTTTAAGGATATCTTGATAATAGATTAACCATCATTAAGCGCTACTAGTCAGCATTGACCTACTATGAATCATTATTAACCCCTTAATCATTGTCAGCAATCATCAACCATGCTTGGGTTTAGGGATTGTTGGGTAAAAACCCACACTTTCAACCAGCCCCTTTGTTTAGCACATGGCGCATAGCCGCCTCCAGCTCAGAGGGTTCCGTGAATTGCCGGTCAGCAATGGCTCTCAACTGAGCGTAGAGGTTGGGTTCCGTTGGGCGGGAGGGAGCTACCAAAATGGGAAAAAACATGAAGAAACTAAGCAAAATGATAAGATATATTGACATAGATTGAAATCTATTGAAACATTTCAGTGATTTAGCCATTGGAGTTCACTGGCTGAAGCCCCCAAGCTCCCGCGAGAAAGCAGCACATTAGTGCTGCATTGCCTTCCTGGGGAACCTCTCGATGGGTCTTAGGTTCATGCTTTGGTCGCTTGCTTCTGCTCTTGCTGCAACTGTTGCTTCAAGCGCCTCATGTTCCCCTCTGGTGTGTGGAGTGGGGAGTTGGTCAGATGGGGGGGTTAGAGTTCCCATGTGAATAGGAGATGAGTAGTATATAGGCAGTATACGTACAGGCAGTATATAGGTAGTATGTATATAAATATACTACATTATATAGGAGCACTATAAGTATTATGCAGATTACATGTGGGTATGCAATAGGTAGGGCATGCAATACGCAATACATCAATGTATAGGTACACTTGTGGGAGGTTGTGATTTTGAAATTTTAAACCTAGCATTGAAACGGGAGGTCTTGGCTCACAAACGCTCATATAACGCACGTTGGATATTTGAGGGCAGAGGGGGAGCATACCATTTGAAGGTGGCCATTGGACCTGGAACCTCCAATTATATTACATTCCATTATGTCCCTCTTAATCCCTCTTGTAGATTGTTTTGTACCCCTATTATTCATTATTCCCCATTACCCTCCAGCAATCAAACATGGCAAGGGAAGATCCTCGATTTGGAGTTTGTGGATTCCCATTGCCACCTTTGATTACCGAAGGCTATTGGAAGAGCCCTTCCAACGGCGGAAGCGAGTTCCTAGCTTCACAGTTGTCTGGTATTTCTCCTCCAATTCCTGCAGGCAGCAGGAAGATCAACGGAGTCATGGGGAAAAATCACAGGAAATTGGGAATCAACCAACAGAAAAAGGGGATATCACCAACAATGATTGTATTGGTTTGACGGGAAACTGGTTGAAACTGGCTGGTCTTTACCGCTGTCTTCTAGATAGGCCTCCAATTCTGGGATTAGCATGTAAAATCATGATGAACATCCCTTCTGCCAAGAACGACACCGAGGTGTTTGCGTGTCGAATCCACAAACCAACCGCCGCTGTCACAACAAGCAGCCTGAGAGAGACCACTGTACGATGGGCCTCAGCGACAAAATGTGGAGCACGCAATCGACGCAAGAGTCAAAAATGTTCCTCCAAACATATTTTGTCAGATCCAAAAAAGTGTAGTTTCATTCTTGTTAGTGAAATATGATCCGAATTCACAAATCTAAATTTGAATGAAATCCCAATATGAACTATCAGATAACTATCAGTCTTCAATCCCAAATCGTCTGAGGATGGAGCCCATCACCGGATCCTCAGTAGGACCTTCCTGAGCCTTGATGGCTTGTTGCCTGGGCCGCTTTGCTCCCATAGTGAATTATCCATTAACATGTGGAAAATATGCATTAATGTGGATAATCATATGGATATTTAAGTGATTATACTGGGTAATTTACCCTGATATAGGTAATTCTTACCCACTTTAAGTGGGTATCTGATCCCCCAAGATAAGTATGTCCAATCTAAGTGGCTATCAGTGAGTCTGTCATGTCCAAACTGGAGCCCTCTCCAGGTCCAAATATATAAGAATAGTCCATTCTGCAGGTAGCATTGACCTATACCCAATGGAGCAGTGATGCAAGCACTTGTGCCCTTCAAAAATTCGTTGATAGCATCATAAATGTAATACATTGTCGCACAACTGAACCCATCCTTTAAAAAAATATGTGTCAAAGTTGGGTCTACTAAAAATGAGGTGGAAATCTTCCCTCCCCTGGGTCCCTCTGGGTCTGCAGCTGGCCATCATCAGAGACCAGTGCGGCATATGCCGAGCTTTGCGCCTTGAAAATGGTGAGTCGTTCTTGTGATTTTTTTCAGGAAAAAAGATATACAAGTATATATATAATATATATATATTATTTATTTATCTATTTAAAGAAAAAACAACAAGGGCATGTTCCACATTTAGTGCAATCAAATCGGTATTCAGATCTTGGGTTTTGACAGCTGGCATGGCCTAACAGATCCTAACAGTATATGTGTATCTATTTTTCATGGCTTTTGTGATGAGTTCTGGTTTGAATACTGGATTCTAATGTGTTAACATGGGTGCAAACACTGGTCATACCTCCTAATGGATCATCCGCTTTATCAATGATGGTTATAGGCATAGGGATCCCTGTTGAGCCTGTATAGCCATGGGGGTAACCAACAGGGCTCAACTGGGCCTTGCTATTGCGACTCCTATACTATACGTTGTTTTAGATCCGTATATACAAGATAGAGTGAGCAGATTTCCTTGTTGCACCCCACGTGGGTTGGCCATGTAATGGAGCGTACTCATCCAAAAAGTCATGTAAATGTGAAATAGTTGAAAATATGATGACGAAAAATGAGATTTGGGCGTGTGTGTGTGTATATTATACATATACATATACATATGTGTACATATTACGTGTATATATATATATACATATATATGTATACACTATTCTAAGATAAACCCACTTGGTACATCTGGATAGGCCTCACATCACTCTGCAAGATAGCGACCTGTCTTTCTGCAAATCTGAGGTTCTGTCCTGTTCGACTGCACTGCGAAGAGACTTGTTTGTCCTCTTCAGGGCCGGCGTCCCGGCCAATCTTCCCATCAACAGGATGCTTGGGGGCACCATCTTGGGTATCTTTATTCATATTATATTATGTAGATCTTATTTGAGCGATTGGACATGCAACATATGTATACTATATACACACATACATACATACATACATACATACCATAACGTAACGTAACGTAACATAACATTACATAACATAACATTACCTTACCTTACCTTACCTTACCTTACCTTGCGTTAAATTACATTACATTACATTTACATACATACATACCAATACATACATACCAATACATACATACCAATACATACATACCAATACATACCAATACATACCAATAAACAATACATAACATTACATTACATTACATACCATTACATACCATTACATACCATTACATACCATTACATACCATTACATACCATTATATACCATTACATACTATTACATACATGCCATTACATACATACCATTACATACCATTACATTACATTACATACCATTACATTACATGACATGACATTACATTACATTACTTACATACATACATTACGTACATTACAGTATTACATACATTACATACATTACATACAATACATACATTACATACATCACATACATTACATTACATTACATTGCATTGCAGTGCATTGCATTACATTACATTACATTCCATTACATTACATACATACATACACAAATATGATCCCATATGAATATGGATCAAATATCTATTATCTATCCATATTGTTGAATCATATGAATATGTAAAATGATCTTGTAATATGAATATATAGATGCAATTATGTAGCATTATGTAATGTAAACTGTATAAGATCTACGAATCCGCACGCCCTCGCACCTCTTCGCTTGTTTAATTTGGCTTTCCAAAAAGCGTCGATCATCTTCCAACGCCTCAGCCGCAGCCCTTGGTGGGAACCGTCCCAAGCGTTTCAGTTATCCCGAAAAAAATTGGAGGAACTCACAAGGTTGAAACTGCAAATGAGGATTGGTTGTATTTCAAATCGTCCTTGGTCATTGGTTGAATTCCTGAATTTTCAATCATCCCATGTCCAGGGTTCAAGTTCCGTTCGCGCTGAAATTCCAACCTGGGATCACCTGCAAAAATTCCAAGTTCTAGTCATTAAACTCATTCAACTGATGTTCCATGAAACAATAGTGTTTCCCTGAAATTTTGGCCTTTTCTGTCATGTTTTCCCTCCAATTCTGTGACTCCGGACTTCTGCTTTGCCTTTCCACTTGTCCAGCTCCTCAAAGCCATCATGGGACCAACTACAGTTTCTTTTCGCGATCTGAGGGACCAAAAGAGCACTTTGGGATGAAAGGACCAATTATGGCTACCGACAAGATTCAGCATTAGTTTGTCATTACAGTCATTATGTACATGTTTTATCCTGGTGCATCAAAGCATGTCTATCTCCTATGATCCATGAATAGTTCATATGGCCTAGGCCACTAAAAAGGATACCGAACACTCATTCCATGGGTGTCAGGGTTTGTCCCAAAAAATGGGTCCGGCCCTCATGTTTCCCAACCTTGGCTTGTTTTCACGCGAATCCCTCCTGTTCCTGATTTTCCCGGACCCCTATTTTGACACATCTGACATATCTCACTGTTTCCGGCAGAAAATTCCATGTCCTTCTTGTACTTCTTGACCAGCTCATCAAGTCTTAAAGCCTCGTTCATGAACCAGTCCAGTTCCTGCGCAAAATCCGCGTGGTTTCATAGGGTTCCCCCTGAAAATAGGGTGCCCCAAAAAAAAACTATGAATTATCAGTTTGTCATATCATGGTCTAGCATCGTTTTCTTTATGGTCAGGGTCAAAATTGGGTCCCCATTTCAAGATATTTCAAGGGAATATTCGTATCGAAAATGACAATAGCCACGAATTTCTGTCCACAAGGCTCAAAGTCTTGACTCACCCAATCTTGTCTCATGCTCCAAGTTGAAAGGCAAAACCTGTGGGTTTTGGCTCCAAGTTAAACATTATGGCTACATATGGCCACTTGGATGTATGAATCACTTCATCACTTTTTGATGATCATCAGAATCGTGCGAGGAACCTTCTCCAACGACTGGATCTTGGCATCTCTTCGAGTTTTCGTCTCCTCCTCATCAGCCTGTGGGCTGAACTGCCGATGCAGGTGTCCTTTTTTTGGCAGCTTGAATGGGTGTATCTGAAAATTGGGAACAGCAAAACAACCATGCAAAACTACTGTTGTTTTTTTAAACGAGGTTCCAGTACCAAAATGGACCTACTGGTACGTGGTAGATCTTTGGGTAGGCAAACTCAGAAACGTTTGGTTCATGAAAGCACCTTCTGCTTCAGCTCTTTAAATTCCTTTTGCACCGTGAACCTGCAAAAATACTGACAAACAGGCTTCATCGTAAGGAGCGAACCATCAGAAATGGACAAAAAGCAAAAAGAACTGCTGGGATAATGCTGCAAGCATCGATGGTTATTTTTATCTGGCTTGTGACCCGCCCTTTATATAACCATATATACATCGATTTTATACATCCCAGTTCTGTTTCGGACCCCATAACGAGCACCGAAGAAGCATCACTTGAAGCACGTTGAGGCCGCAACATGAAGCTCTTGTATGCTACGAAGAAAGCCTTAGCCATACCGGCCACCAAGAATACCGTGGTCCATGCGGATATATGCGGATATCCCAAACCGTCCTGAAATGAAAGTTTTAGGCATACCATATACCGTATGCCAGTCAACTTGAAGAAAGTGTCATCATTGCAATGAGGAATGGAAGATTATGGAACATGATGGAAGAAACTGTTGAGTATTTGAAACTACATCAGAGCTTGCTAAGCTTCTGGCCTTTTCATTGGCACTAAGCTTGCTCTCGACTCGCTCATCTAACACATCAGCCAACGCCTCAGGTGACTGCCGGTGACTGCCGGTGACTGCAGAGTCTTCAGGTGACAGGACCATGAAGCCCCAATCCCCCATCACCCTGCCCGGCGCCTGCAGATCTTGATGAAGCCCCAGAATCTTCGATCCATGCTCGGTATCTTCCAGCAAATCCTCACGCTTCTTTTGTCTGTCCAAAGCTTGCTTTCTCTCTACATTCAGCAAGGACAGAAACCTGGGGCGGGCAGTTTTTCTGAAATCTGGCTGGGTCAAGCTACCACAGCCATGAAAAAAAACAAACCAAAACTAAATATATAAACATGAAGCAAACCATACAGAAACCCTAAACCAACACTCACACAAACCCTGATGAAACCCTAATTTTACCTTAAACCAAACCTGAATAAACCCTAAACCCAGACTAGATAAACTTCAAACCAACACTAAGTAAACCAACGCAAACCGCCACAGCCCAAAATGGCGAAATCCATGAGTCACTCTGAAGCCCATGGCTGCTATGTCACTATGTATTTCGTGGTTAAAACAGCCGAGTTTCCATTACATTACAATATCAGCACATCAGTTTCCCCACCAAAGTTTGGCTGCACAAGCCATGAGTGTCACTTTCAGCTGTTGGTTTCCTCCACCTGCAGCATCTGAGGCACTCACGAGTTATCCGCAGGCACTAGCGCCATGGCTTCTCCAGCTTGAGCAAAAAACGGCCGCAGGAGGGTCAAATTTTCAGACCTATGGAGAAACATGTTTGGGGCGTTTGTACAACCATCCATATTAATATTAATATTAAATGATATTATTTTTATGATATTTATATTAATATAATAATCCTATCCAATATTCAATCATATTCAATCATATTCAAAACATTGAGGACGCTGGGCTATGTTTTTATATGTTTTTGACCAGTGCCCAGAGGTACCTTACAGCTTTCACCAAGTGGGAAGCGGCTCAATGTCATGCAAATGTCCAGGCGGCGTGGCAGCACTTTCTATTTTTTCCTCGGAAAGCCAGCAACGAGTCGTCAACGCCTGCTGAGCGGATTCAGCAAAATGCCCGGGCTTTTCCACTTGGTGGTGTCTGAAGCCACAGGCAGTCAGGCATGACCCCAACTCAGCACAGCTGCAAGCTCATCCTGCCTGGCAGCGTGTTGGTTGCTTGCGACACAGTCTACACATTTGGGACAACATCTGGTTTTGGGTCGACATTGGGCGCCCCATTGGCCGTGCCCGAAAATATCCGAAAAAGGCTACCAGTCCAAGGTTGAAAATCTCATTCTGCCATATTTTCTTTGACTTCCCACCATTTTCCCATGAAGATAGCCACATTTGGGGAACTGGGCCCCGTTTACGCGCCTCATCTGCAGCCCGCAGTCCACCTAATGGAACATCACAAATGGCCGTGCGGAGCCTTAGGGGTTGCAGTTGCTTGGGAGGATCACATGCACCATTTAATGTAGACATACATATATAGATACAATATCATACAAGACAGCACAACACAACACAAGACGTTACATTGCAATACATTGCATTGCATTCCATTACATCACATCACATAACATCATTACACGAATGCATGCATTAGTTTCTTAATTGTATCGCTTGGCATTACAATATAATGCAATACGATACATAAAAATAACATGCAGAACACTACACTACTGTACATGACGTTACAGTGCATACATATATGTAGTTATGTACAGCCCCTTTTATTGATGGTTTACCTTTAATAATCAAATCCCATTAGCCAGTGGTTTTTGATGGTGAAATCCCAATTTTTGATGGTTAATATTAATATCACTCCCAGATTAGTAAACAATGGTTGATGATTAGGAGGGTGACCAAAATAGTAATGACAATCTGCCACTAAAATGGTACTAAAAAATCTGAATAGCTTCGGGCTTATTAATTACCATGTATATATATACACTATTGATAATGACAATTATATTAAAACAATGTCAATGATACTGATACTTGTAGTAAAGACAAAAAAACAGAGAATACCAATAATAATTGAAAGAAAGGTATAATAACAATAATAATGAAGATAATCCTGCACAAGCACAATCATGATGATGAAGAAGATAACGATGATGATGAGATGATGATATGATGTTTTGATGCTACCATGATATGATGATATGGTGCTATGATGATATGATGCCATGATGATATGATGCTATGATGATATGATGAGCTGATGATATGTTGATATGATGATCTGATCATCTGATCATCTGATGATCTGATGAGAACAAAAAGGTACTGGTTCCCACTGGCTCTCCTCTTCCAAATGTATCCCTTCAATGCAAATAAATGCAAATAAAATGTCTGTAATAACAGCACCACTTCATTAAATCAAAAAAGCTTGATATTCTAAGATTCTGGCGCATGTCCGAAGCGATCGTCTGGAGTGCTCAACCTTTGAAGGCCACTCTTGACTTGATGTGTTCAGAACTCAAGCTGACAACAAATTTTGGGTACAATGAGCCTGGTGCTGCTCCTACTTCCAAATTTAACTTGAAGCCCAAGGGGTAAGGGACGAAAGCTAGCTTGGCAGGGAGCTTGGCATGAAAACACAATGATGCTGAGGATGCGGGTGCTGCCGAATTTGCTGCCGCTGGCCACATGCCGATGGTTTGAGCCACGGCCATACTGCTTGTGAACCAGCTAGCCGGGGGGGGAGGGGAAGGGACTTCAGCTAGCAGAAGCTAACTCTCGTGATTAAATGAAGACCCATTGCATCTGTATCAACTCCAAGTTAATGCACACCCAGAGAATGGGTAGATCGAACTCCGTCAACATCTCTGGGCTGAAAGGCCTATCATAGGAACCGAAGGCTGCAGAGACTTCTCAGTGCAGCACTCATCACGGTTGATATCGAATGAGCTAAGCACCCTGGCGGTGCTCATCACTTCATGTCAGGATAAAGAGACGGCCCCAACAGTCCCACTTAGTTCCTCTGATTGCTACCATGTCAAGATCAATATAACCGATATACAGTAAGTGTCATAAAAGGATCAACTTTGGACCATGACTCAATATTTATTGCCACTCCGATGGAAAAAAAATGTCTGTCGGTCCAAAACAGATCCACTGCTCGCTCCGCCTCTCTTGCGTTGGGGGCGTCATCGTTTCCTTCACGATGACTCGGGCCTTTGCCTAGCCCAGCTCTTGGGATCGGGCTACGCCGATACCCCGTTTTTAGATGTGGTAATGTGGAGTTTACCCACCATGAACGTAGATCATCGTAGATCAATATTCCATCATTTTCCTAGTTTCCAATAGTTTCCATAGGTTGTCCTAATATCTTTCCCCGAAAAATGGGAGATTTATGACCGCCACGGTCAGAGGTCCTAGGTTCTGACCGCCTTTCCAATGTCACCTGAGGCCTCGTTCACAAAGTTGATCTTCTTCTGCGTCCGCCTGGCAAAAAGAGACGGTAGTTTGCCATGATCATGGTGGATGTTGTCGGGATGATCATTTCATCTGTAAGTGGATTGACATTGATAACTTGATTTCAAAGGGAAGTCAGAAACTTGCTGAAATGTTTGACCTTTACAATATATCCTTTTTGGGGGTAACAGTAGTTGGTTGATCGATGGCTAATAGATGGTTTGTGATGGAATTAATGGTAAATAGTAGATGGTTGATAGATAATTAACGGCTGGTCAATTGATGGTTATACCATGATGGAACTAGTGATGGTTGATAAATGGTTTATAGATTCTTAATGGATGCTTGATATGGTGTCGAAGTGATTGTCAAGATCATGGTTAAATTGCTGATTAATAGATGGCTAATAGATGGTCATAGCCTCATTGTTAACTAAGAGGCCCATCATCTCCATAGCTCTCTGAACTGAGCCCCCCGCTCACTGAGGAAGGGTCTCAAAGTCGACCAAACCGCCTGGGATCTTTGGCCATCTGGCAGCACCAAAAATAGAACTTAACCAGCAAAAATTGGCAGAAAACATGTGTTCACGACAGGATGGGATCAACCAGCCAAAGAAAGGATATTTAACCCGAAATAATGGAATTGAAATTCCACTTGAAACGGGAAATGTCAATCTGAACTGGAAAAAAATAGAAATCTAACACTGACCAAAATGGATATGGATCAAAATCTGGTTGGCCCTGTCTGATCCATGAGCGGGCTCGTCGTGTTTTCGTAGTCACCCTGTTTTCTGTAGGCAAGGTTGACACATATCCAAGTCAAAGCAACCCGATGTCCACATATGTGGGGAACCATAGCTCTTCCTACCTGGCCATCCTGGCCTGTGCAATGAAGGAAAAGTCAACGATGAGGATGCACTTCAATCGGTCCGCGAAAACCTGCATGACTCGATGACTACAGGTGGAGCCCCAAAAGTATGCGCCCAACTAAAACCAATCCCGTCTAATCACCTTGTCATGGATGGAAGGGATTGGAAAGAAAATGATTCCGTTTCTTTTTGGCTCTCTATGCGTCTCACTGCTTCCATTTTGCATCCATCCTGGGCTAAACCCAGCGGTTTCCATCTCTGGACAAAGCTGAGGTCCCCGCTACTCCAAAGTTGTTGGCCAAATGTTTGAAGGCAAAGGGGTCCATGTTCAGGTGGGGTTGAATCCTTAGATGGCTGCCAGTGACAAAGCCGCGTGTTTTCTGCAGGTCAAACACATGGGTTATTTTTTTGGGATGGGGGATGAGAATCCTTGCCATCGAAACAAAACCATTGATGGATGACAATACCCCCAATATTGGTTCTATATTAATCCAAGCCAACTCTTGACCATTCAACCCACATCTGTGCTTTTTAATATTACACCATGATGTTTTTTGCTGCACCGCTTGGGTTCCTTTGTCACCAGTTTCAACTCGTGTCGAAACACCGGACCAAGGGTCTGAATCATGTCAGCCACGAAGATCGCCTGACCATCTTCTTGAGCAAGTCTTGACGCGGCCTGGATCAGATGATCAGCTCACTGCCCACCAGGTCACCATAGCACCACCAGTTTGGTTAAGGCTTTGGTTAAAGGTTTGTTTAAAGATCTCTTTAAGGGTTTGTTTAAGGGTTGGTGGTGGGTCATGTTCAAATAGTTTTAGAGTGTTTCTTTAAAATTGAGTATGTATTGAACCCCATTTTATGGTGGGTAATTGAAGATATGCCCAAATAAGTCAGAATATGTCAGAAACATTTTGAGGCTGATCACAAGCCTGCATCAGCATGTAAATTGGATGTCATAACTCATGATTTGCTCCCATGTGAATTAGTGTATGCAGAATGTCTCCAAAGTTTCGACAATGACTGCTGACAGAATTTATATCACATACTGCATACCAAACATCATCATATGACTTGAAGACCACGAAATCACCGCCTCAAAGGCAAGGAAGACGTGGGGAATCAGCTCTCGCAGATGTTCGGTTTGGCTACGGGCACTCATGTAAATCACAGGTCGGTTTTCTCGATCACGTCCGATGATCCTCATGTCGCAGGCCACTTGACAGCGCATGGACCGAAAGAGCTCGCGTTCACGGACTCGACATTCGATGGCCTTCATTAACATCGGGACCGCCTGAGACATATTTCCCTGAGAGGCGCGAAGCATCCGACGTAGTGTTGAAAGGGAGGTCCACTCCTGTCGGAAAGAAAATCGGGGAAGGTGGCGGCACCTTAATTACATGTTTCCCCAGAGAACAAAAAATACAGACCCAAAGTACCCAAAGAGTTGCTAGTTTCTATCCTTTGTAGCGGCCCACCCAAAGGTGCACTCGGTAGATTTCCCCAAAGTCTTCTTGCTGATCATCACTTTTGATGGTTCGACCGCCATATTTTTTGTTAACTCCCATTCACACATTTTTTCTGATTATTACTCAACATTACTCATTCATTCTTAATAGTCAAATCCCCACAAAATTTCACTCCTCAACGGGGGGCGTTTGGGGACCGGTCACTCCTCCAGCTCCGGAAAGCCATGCTCAAGCTGACTCTTCAGTGTCTCATCCAGGTCTCCATCCTAGCGAAAGATGGGTTGGTTCGTTCATAGAAACCCCCAGCCATAGATCCAAAGAATAAGGTGACACCTAGACAAAAACCATCAAATGAATTTTCAAGCATGATCGATTTCACAGGAGGGGAAATCTGCAGGAAACCACAGAAATCTGACCATTCGGAGTTCAAATTCTCCGGTTGAAAACTTGTGGCTTTCCATGGGATGAAGCCCAGTTGGTCCCAACTTCAGCCAGAGATGCCTTCACTCTTGATGTGTACCTTTATTCATCTTTCATCTTTATTCATCTTTATTCATCTTTATTCGTCATATGAAGATTCTTTTGGAGCCAATCCCTGCCTGAATGCGATGCTTCCACTGGTCTCGCACATCATTTCGAAGAACAGGCACCAAGTCTTCATAGACATCTTCCGGCAGCAAGGAATCGGGATCAACTTTTTGCGGAAGACCGTGACGCGCTTCCCTTTCTGCAAAGGTTCTAAATCCAGCCTGCCACAGCCGGGAAGATGTCACTTGCAAAGGGTATATGTCGAAATCCTAGTCTTGCAGTATCTTGCAGTCTTGCATATCAAGGCATTTCTAAATTCTTCAAATTTCCAAATCTCATCAACTCACCAGACATGCACTCCAAGGTTTTCGCATGTTTTCGCATGTTTTCGATTGTTTTCGCCTCAGGCACCAGTCCCAGAGACCGCTGGCAGTCTCCACTACCGCGTCGTTCCAGCGGATAGCGCCGCGGCACATCGCTGCCGTGGCCCCGCTGCGCCATCTCCTCCTGGGTCTCGTAGCAGTCGAAGAAGGCCTGAAACTCTTCGGCCTCGCCAACGCCTTGCCAGCTGTTATGCCTGGCGGTTGATGCTGCAATGTAGTTTTTTTGGGATGATTCACCACATTCAAATAATTTCCATGGAGGATGATTGTACGATTTGAGATAATTATATATATATATGTATATCCAATATATGTTAAATGATGTTAAATGGACAAGCAGAGTCTAAAGCAGCCATGAAGGGATGTAATGATAAAAACCACGAATAGCCAATACCAAAAATGCGGAGCCAAGAATAAACACAAGGACATGGATAATATATATATATACAATATAATATAATATATAATATAATATAATATAATGTAATGTAATATAATATAATATAATGTAATGTAATATAATATAATATATTTGTAATATGTAGGCGATTCAAAACTAAGCAGCCCAACAGGGAGGATCAAAATTCTAAGGGCCTGGCGACCACAATTCTGGGACAAATTTTGGACCATCCAACGTTTGTGGTTCACGATTTGACTTACACTTATATAACTTATATATATATATATCATACATTATCATATCATCTGTAGAAACAACACCAACATTTGTGAATTGGCACATCCCACCAACCAGAATTTCCAAAAAGACTGGTAGCGAGCAGCTACAACTTTTGCAAGTAGAATTTCGGCTGCCAAGCCTGTTCTTGACTAGTCTGGCTGCTGCTTCATCTCCACGTGTGGTACAACAAACGATATTTTCCACACCCAGTGAAGCGCCCATGGCTCACACGCAAATTGAATTCAGCAGGTACAAGTAAAGTGTGTTGATGCATGTCCTGCTCCGTTGCTCCATGACAGGTCGGCTGCTCGGCAAATTCACACTGTCACTGATTTGAAGTCCGATGGATATGGCAGTCAGTCAGTCATGTCAGTGGCCATTTCATACTTCTATCATGTCCACGGGACATCGTTGGGGCCACGAGTACAGCCAAGTCAGAACACTTGTTGAGGCGGAGGGGACAATGAATGACTGTGCTGCTTCCCAAAGAACCAGCAAACCATGCCTTGTAACAACTTTCATAGATGGAAATGTTTGAGCCCACAGCGGACATAAGGAGATCACCATTGGCAATCTTGTCTTTAAACTTGACCCAACTCTTGTCTCCCCAAACTACATTACATGTTGGGTACAGCTCAAAAAATCGGGTACCGATGAATCCAGATTTTGGACGCATTCTTTCGTATTGAACCATACAATTTTAAGCGACAATCATGTTGCACCACCCCATTATGGTATATGTTCTGCAGCCTTCAGCTTTTCAACATGTCTGGCAATGCGACAATGGAAAATCAACCATATTCATGGTCGAAATGTCACATCAACGAGCAACCTCAGCCAACCTGTGATCGCTTCATCGAGCTTCTCAGATAATCTGGAGCTCTGACTTTTGCAACCTATCGAACCAGTTTTGGCGACAAGCTTCGGCTTCTTCCTGGTGGGTCATCCGCAGAGAACATCTTGTCTTCTGCACCGACCAGTTCTTTAAGAGTACTTTCCCCAGGAGAATCCTGCATTTCTTCCGTCTGTGCTTCTCTGTTTGTTGCTTTCCGACCATTTCGGCCTTTGTAATTTGTCAGAGCTCCACACTCAGGGACAATAGCATGTTTGCACTCTTTCTGCAGAGCTGAAATGGCATATTTCAAGGACTTCATGGCACAAGTCGTTTCCAGCAGATTTTTATGTTGTTTCTTCACTTTCTCTTTCCGCAGCCTTGCTGCTTCTACCTGAATGTGCGACAAGAGATCGGAGTCGATTTGGTCGATTTTCCCATGAAGAACAGCTCCTTGCTCCTGCATCGCCTCAAGGGAATGTTCAACAAAATCAACAAATCCCAGGAGCAGCCCGCAAAATTCGCAGGTCGTTACGGTAGTTGGTGGATTCAAGGTTTGTTACGTGTTGTTCTACGAAAGCCAATCCGGATCAATTAGGATCATCATGCCAGATAGATCCAGATAGTTAGTGAAGTTGCAGATCAGCAAGGTCCACGCATTTTGATCCTATGTTGGGGGATTTATATGAATCCCTGATGGTGCCAATTCTTTCTTGATTAAGAGGCAAACGGCCTGAATGACTTTAAACGGTCAAACAGTCCATCAGAAATGTATGAATTTCGAAGAAAAGGTCCGGTGAATCTGGCGTGTGCCTAACCTCCAACAACCACAACAACAACAGCGACAACAACAGCGACAACTACGACAACACACCTCTGTGAGTGCTTTCGTCACATCGACCTCTGCTTCGTCCAAAGATCGGATGCACCGATGCGTGCATTTCCTGACAGTACACTGCATCGCCCTGGAAACATCATCAAATCGATTGCCTCGAAGTCTCATCAAACCTTCTTGCAATTCGGCGCATGTCACTTTGCCGTTGTCATCTTCATCTATCAAACATCTCAGCAAATCACTGTGTGTCGGCAGGGTCACCTTGAGCTCATCCAGCAACTCACTTGCAAGAATCGACTTGAAGAGTCTGCTATACTCATGTTGGTTCAGATGATCAGGAAATCGTTTGGGGGTCGCATCATAGATCTCTGCCATCTGCTGTTTCAACAGATCAAACTCGAACTGTTTCTCCTCCGCAGTGGCTGGAGGAAGCTGGCGGGCCAGCTCCATGACGCGTTCGCAGACCACCCCAGTGACCAAATTCAGCAGGGCAAAGTTCGACAAACAAATGAAAATCACCAGATAGGCGGCCCAAAATTTGGAATCCGTCAACATGGGGCCACTGATGGCTGGCCAACCTTCCACTAAGACCAACTGGATATGGGTCAAAAAACTTAAGGGCACTGAACTGAAGAAGCTCTTCAGCTCGGAATTGGAGGCGTGTTTTCGTCCCAAGACCTCTGAGCAGATCAGAGCACCTGGCGAAGGCGCAAACGTCACAAACGTCGCAGAATAGTTTCAGTTGGACGTGGGATCATGGAAAGTCCCCAACAGATCCCAACAGTATTTCAGAAATGAACTTGGATAAGTTGACTCAGAGGCAAGAGAAATAGATTGTGAAGCCGTTACATAGGAGCTTCAGACTATAGCTAGTCTATAGCGGACTTTTGACAACAGCCGCCTATGTACGAAAGTATTGCAAGCAGGATCATGGCATCCATAATGGTAATAATGGTACTTACCAAGCCCTTCACCAGCAAGGCCAGTGCAGGCATGATCTGGAGCAAATGCACTACCCGCAGGATTCGAAGCAAACGGATGGCTCGAACGACTCCCCGCAGCGTTCCATTGATCTGCAGACTGGAGAGTTGCACCACAACGATGTATCCTCCAGCACTGAGCACCAAAATCAAATCCAGTAGTCCCATGGATGAACACATGTATTTCCATTTCAGCACCCTGCTTCTAAGAACATACTCCAGGGTAAAGACCACCAGCAAAATACAATCCACAACAAGCAGGGTGTAAAAGGCAGGACCACCCTGCTGTCGAAGAGTGGCATCAGCTTCTAGCTCGAATTGCAATTCTAGTCCCAGCACAAAGGACTGAACGGCGATGGCTATGCCAATGAAGACACTACCCTTGGTCGAAAGAATCCAGGCCACGCCTTCCAACTTGGCCCTTCGAACATAACGCTGATGGATGCCATCCAATTTGATCCACTTGGGACTGTTGGCCACCGTGGTTAACATGGAAGAACTGGCAGTCTTCACCCTCTTCAGGCTGGAGGTGGTCTTCAGAATTTCATCAAATTCTTGTCGTTGTGCGTGGAAAGCTGCACCTGCAGCCCCTTGGATACCTCCCAAACGGCCTCCTCGAAACATGGCGATGGAGCTTGTGAGGAGCTTCACCTGTGGCCCTGTTTCTGGATGTTTTTCAAAGATGCTCTTTGGGTGTGTGGGTGGGGAAGAAGGGCGCTGGTAATGTATTATGACACTTATATGGCCTGAATAGTGACTAGTGTATTTCCTGAGAAACAAGCGTCATGCCCAATGTTGGCCATTGATCAATTTTTGTTGGTCATGATTCTGTGGGAGGAGAATGTCATGCCAGAACCCGTCTGCAGCAGAACCAACTGTTTGATCTGCAATACATGTTCGGCATCTGGCCAGACTTCAAGGCATGGCCACCTTCCAAATGCAACCAAGTTGGTGCTTTCCTTCCAAAAGAGCCATGGAAAAAAACCCTCGTGTACTGCCGCATCATTCCTTGAACTGGTTGGTTCATGTCGGGATTCATTTTTTGCCCTCCACCATCTCTCAATTCTTGGCAGCTGCAAGCTCTCGCAAGGCAGAATGAGAAGGCCTCTTTGAGGTTCCATTCAAAGACGGGTGGCTTCAGGCCAGAAACATGAAGTTATTTAGGTTTGTCACCCTAACAGGACAAATTTGTGATCTGAAACCACCAACTAGATTCCCAGAAAACCGGATCACATGGCCAGGAAAGCCCGCATGTCCGGACAGGAGGCAGTCAACCTTAGTCACCCCCCGGCACGCTTGAAATCCTCTGGTTCCCTGTCCCCAGGCTGGGTTTCCCTGACTTCTCGGCATTGCGATCCAGGTGTCGAATTGTGCCCTTGTAAGCCTGGAGGTGATGTCGTCCATTAGAATCACTGCAGGTCCTTTGGCCGCCCAAAAGTCTCAGGCTGCCACGTGCCACCCTCGGAGGCACACTTCAGCTTGCTGATGTCTGCAGACTCCAGCAGGCCTGGTCCAGTTGGGATGGCCCATGGGCACATCCCATCGAACCATCATGGACTTTTTTGAATGTTGAGGAATTGATGACTATCCCTCAATGTGGGACAATCATGTGTGTATGTTTATATATATATATATATACATATATATATATTATATATATATATATGTACATACATACATACATACATAACATTACATAACATTACATAACATTACATAACATTACATAACATTACATAACATTACATAACATTACATAACATTACATACATACATAACATTACATAACATTACATAACATTACATAACATTACATAACATTACATAACATTACATAACATTACATAACATTACATAACATTACATAACATTACATAACATTACATAACATACATACATACATTACATTACATACATACATACATACATACATACATACATACATACATACATATACATAACATTACATAACATACATACATACAACATACATACATACATACATTACATTACATTACATTACATAACATTACATAACATACATACATACATTACATTACATAACATACATACATTACATTACATTACATAACATTACATAACATTACATATACATTACAACATTACATACATTACATACATTACATACATTACATACATACACATTACATACATACATTACATACATGACTACATTACATACATTACCATACATACATACATACATACATTACATACATTACATACATCATACATTTACATACATTTACATACATACATTACATACATTACATACATTACATACATACATACATACATACATACATACATACATACATACATACATACATACATATACATACATACATACATACATACATACATACATACATACATACATACATACATACATACATACATATACATACATACATACATACATACATACATACATACATACATACATACATACATACATACATACATACATACATACATACATACATACATACATACATACATACATACATACATACATACATACATACATACATACATACATATCTAGATATTCCAGCTTTTGACGCACATGTGCAGCCAACAATCCAGTCTTGCCTCATGTCCGCCACATTCGCCTGGATCCGCGGGCCAGCAGCCCTAAACTCCGGGTCAAGTGGGATCTCCAGATATCTCCATTTATCCAACTACACCCTGCATCCAACTACATGGTAACCTACATGGCACTGAAAAAATTGCCACGTCAAAATTTCAGAAACCAAAAAATCATCGGCAATGACTTGCGAATAGTGGTGACTCAGTGGTGAGATCCATTCACATCTATTGAGTCTGTTTCACCAGTCCACGAAGACTCCCATCGCTGGGCGCCACAGACATATGCAATGCCACCTCCAACGCCCCGACCTCGAAGCGGAAAATGCGGATTTTCCCATTCGAAACTGGGGAGATGTGCAGAAACGAAGCAAAATTCTGGAGTTCACCAAAGAAAGTGGCGTTGACCAAACACATCTGGTTTTCTCATCGGTCCTGATATGTCGTGATAGTTCCTCTTTGAACATCCGTCAAGATGAATATCTGGGCATCCCTGAAATGCAAAATGAACAAACTAGTTTCCAAATGAACCTGTCGCCATAAAGTCAGTGGCTAAAAGGGGCCTATTTTGCCGATTCACTGGGGAAATGTCCAGCCAATCGACACATGGAGCTGAGATCCCCACTGGCGTCCAACTCCTGCGTCCGTCGTCTCCTCCATTCCAGCCCCACAGTCATCTGAAGGCCGCAGCCAGGCAGAAACCTGGAGGGTAAATTTGGGTGAAACACTGACAGATGGCAGATGATAGGGAAAAGAAAGATAAGAGTTTCAGATTAAACACCCTCACCCCCACTTGATGGTAAAAGAGAATATCGGCACAACACGTGCTCAATAAACGCCTGTGGTCTACGCTGGATGGAGCAACTGAGCGCAATGTTTTTGGCCTCGGCCGTCGAGGAAATACTGTTCGGATCTGTTCGGTTTGAAACAAAACCATACATCAACAACCATAAACAGCTAAATCTGGGGTATCACCAGAAATGAAACCTAGAAATATTATTTGAGGCTCGCTTTTCAGTGCCCAGTCAGTTGACCAAGATACAAATCCAGAGCACGAGCTGGCATCCGAGGGGTGACCAGGTGAGGCTCCTGGTCAAGTTGGGATGGGGCCCATGGTCATCCATTGCATGGAAATCCAAACATCCCAGGTATATAAATCCCTACGAAAATGGATTGATGATCATCCCTAATGTGCACAACTGCTTCACATCCTTGACCCTTCAAAACTCCAGCGGAAATTTCCTCCATCGGTATCCGCGCCTGAGGTTTGGGGTGAAAGCCTGCAGCCTCCATCCGTCCATGGCTAGCACCAGGATGGTAGGGAGCTGCAAAGGTTCCAACCTGGGCAGTCTCAATTTAGTATTGTACAATATAGAGAATATACACATGTATGTGTATGTAAACCTATGCAATTAGTATATGCTTATACAGTGAATCAGTCTGTTTGTGAATTTGCGTGTCCTATTACATATAAGAAAAATATCATATACACATACGCATACGCATACGCATACCCATACACATACACGTACACGTACACGTACCCGTACACGTACATATACGTATACATATACATATACGTATACGTATACGTATACGTATACATATACATATACATATACATATACATATACATATACATATACATATACATATACATATGCATATACATATACATATACATATACATATACATTTACATATACATATACATATACATATACATATACATATACATATACCCATACCCGTACATATATTATAATTATATTATATATATATACCTTGAGCAAGAGCGATGGAGAAATGAGCGAAGTCGGCTGGATAGCCCCCATGCTTGGACCACATGGCGCAGACTCACAGCACTCCAAGTTCTAAGCATTTGTGCATCGAAGATCTCGATGTGGCGCAGCTGCCATTGCTGCAGGCTGCTGCAAGTGCGGATGGCGGGCCTTCCACTCCCCCAAATTGGGGATGTGGCCAACCAGAAATGGTTGGAATATGTTGGGATGATGGTGATGATCATCATTTTGGTTGTGTATATATTTATGTGTGTATATATAATACTATTATATATATATATTGTTGCTGCTGCTGATAGGGACCAACCTGTCAGTTTTGGCCCTGCTGATGCAAACCATAGCTGTTTCACATCTTTGTTTCACATCTTTGCCTTTATAGGGTGGTTTGGTCTTGCCATGGCTGCATTAACATACTGTTACTAGCAAGCATTCCACCCCACGGACCCAATCCACAACTGCAGGGCTTGATGAACACAGTCAAGCCTCGTCACCTGATTTCGAGGTCAGGATATCCATGGGGCACTTCTATATTTCACAAGTGAGAAATGGTTTCATCATTTATCTTGAGGTCATTGTGAGATCAATGTAATCCGAATTAAACAATGTCCGCTGTGTCTTTTGGCAAAGTCGATCAACTACGAAGATTTTGGCCTCGCCAGCTGCTCAAGTTTTGGAGCGATGCTGGGATGCTGGTCGACCATGGTCTACCTCTGCCATTCACATGGAAAGTGACCCAAAAGGCATCCGCGAAGAGTTGAATCATTTAGTGCATGGGAACGCCATTCAAGCCTCTGGGACTTTGAATCTCTTCGCAAAGCAAAGTAACGAAGGCTTGGTGAGTCATCAAAGGATGTCAAAGGCAAATTCCATGGAAAGGAATCGACATATGTACAACAATTCCACCTCCAAAAACTTGGAAACAGCAGTGGAGTCCAAAAGGAAGTCCCTGCTCAATCGAAGTCGCGAGTAGTGAAGCGAAAAATCCTCAATCGGGACGCGATCATCTCCAAACCCCTTCCAGAAAACTAATCTGAACTAATCTGGCGTCGAAAAGACTTGGTTTATCTCACCATGTTTGGTTTGTTTACCATCCCCTGTTTGTTGGCTAAACACGGAAAATCTCCTCATTTTGCATTGGAAATTCACCGAGCCACTGGGAGCTGCTAGGCTAAAAACCAGCATTAAATCAGCCGTAATTTTTTAAAGCATCAAATTTGAGGCCAGGATTGGCGGGATCCGTGCCTTCCGGGTTCGTTTGTGTCGCTGCGCTTGCTGCGAGCTTGATTCGCAGATCCAGGTCGACTGTGGGAAACCCTTGGTTTGACTGCTGTAAATCTAGGAACGGGGATAGTTGTCGCAAAAAACAAAGTTGCTGGATTTCCCAAGAACGGTTTTCATATGTGTCCCTACTAGAAGTTCACTAAGTTGGGCAAATGTGCTCATAGCACCCCTTTGCACAGATGTTAACTTGGAGTTCACTGTGCGGTTTCCTTTGCTTCAACTTTCACTACCCAAAGCTAGGCATTAGACATGCTATAGTCTGCAGCAGCATAAACACTTGTTTTGGACGTGGCGCACAACAGATCAAAAAGACTGTACACAAATCGAGTACCAGCGGGTTCTACTATGAAACAGTCCTATACGGATCAGTAACGATAACCCCCAAAACAACCAACCACGTTGAACAGACCCAAGAAACGGGGTTGTCAACAGGTTGATCAAACAGGTGGGGAGTTATACACTACACCAAAGTATTTCGAGAATCGACCAGCCGGAGCCAATAACTCCCCCGAAAACCGTTCGATTAACGAAAACAGTCAGCGAACTGCAGACACGACTTTTTTGCATGCTAATGCCAAAATGCGATGGCCACTTTCGACCAGTCTGTGCAATAACGACTGGAGAAGACTCCAACAGCGCCTGCCAATCCACGTCACAGAAATCATCATGTTTAAGTGGTATTTGTAAGGGCTGTTGAAATCGACTCAATGCATCTGCGATGATGTTGAGGTGTCCAGGAATGTGGAAGCGACGCATATACATGAAAAAGGGCGACAGCACTGTAGACATTGCAGGTGTCATGGACAGGCCCTTTGCCGAAGCCGCGTCTGCCGCACTATTATCTGTCCCTTGGTGGTAGGTAATGGGACCTGGGCATTTCGGAAGGCGCATGACAATGCAATGTGAAAGAGCGAATTGGGCCAGCCACGCCGCAATGTGCTTCTGCATATCCACACCGACCTATGGCCACATTATTCCATACATCGTTCAAACCGTTGATCCCAAACCGATAACACGCCAGCGCCACTTGTACGAAACACACCAGGGGCCCTACCACGTCCGTTTCATCGCAAACGCAAACGTCGCTATACAACGTAAAAAGAAAACATGAAAAGGACAAACAACACAGAAAGAATCCAACATAAGTACATGACTGACAAGACACAGCAGCACTGCATTCTCTTTTCTAACTCAAGTGGAGGATTCAGATGGCCTCGTTAAGCCACGGCCCCCACCTTAAGGGGCCTAAACAAACGTGCACTATAAACATTGAAGGGGGGGCGGGGGGCACAAAAAAACACGATTCACGTAAGAAACGCGGTTCCCACCCACCCTCCCTTTGGAGGTATTGAACTTCAAACGGCCACCATTGGCAACTAAGTTCAATGACACCTGTGTGTAATTTGTTCTGAAGATGTTTTACAAACAGAACACACATAAAAACCAAGTTGGGGTAAACTGTAAAAAGGTCAAACATGTGCAGTTGACATGTAACTAAAAATTGCGTTGGAGAGTTTGCGTTCAAACACCAAGCAATTTAACTGACCACAACCCCAACTGGGAAGTTTCCTCACCCTTGGAAGTTTCCACACGCGACGTGACGCGAGAGAAGAGAGGAAACACGCAGCGGCGCAAGGAGAGGCGCTGGATAGAACAAAAAGGAAAGGGGGGATCAACTAGAGCTGCTCTCAGCTTCTTTTAAACTACGCTTGGAATAAGGTTTCATCAGCGCGCTGAGTTGCAACTTATTCCATACATCGTTCAAACCGTTGATCCCAAACCGATAACACGCCAGCGCCACTTGTACGAAACACACCAGGGGCCCTACCACGTCCGTTTCATCGCAAACGCAAACGTCGCTATACAACGTAAAAAGAAAACATGAAAAGGACAAACAACACAGAAAGAATCCAACATAAGTACATGACTGACAAGACACAGCAGCACTGCATTCTCTTTTCTAACTCAAGTGGAGGATTCAGATGGCCTCGTTAAGCCACGGCCCCCACCCATGTTTATGTGGCTTTCCACATATCGCAAACTGATATCAATATCATTGCCAATTCCCCTACGGGAATGCATTCTGTGTCTTTAAGTGTCAGTGTCGGATCTTTCTGAAGGAAAATCTATAAGGTTTGAAGCAGATGGAACACGGTAGTTCCAGGCGGGGCACATGATCGTCTATGTGTTGGGCCACCAAGTGGTAATTCAACAAAGCAGCAAACTAATCAGAGTAACCTCCGATCAAAGCAAGCTTGGCATCCTCATTGTCATGTATACGAAGACTTTAATCTCGAGCAGCTATACTGAGGCTGAACCATGATAAAATTCTTCCGTCCTGCACAGCCAAAAGAAAGGCACCAAATACCACCACCATCTTCTTTGCTGAAGCGGGCATCCTTGAAAATGAAAAGGCACCACGCACCTCGCAAGCCAACAAACCTCGGCTTGCAAATCGAAAGCCTACTCCTCAGGAGGATAAGGATTCCACCAGTCCTTCAGAAAACTTAGAAAACAACGGGATTGGCGTACGCACGCTTCTTGGCATCCTATGGTGGCACACACCGAACCCTATCAAAAGGAATGCATCGCCAAGACCAACTTGCCCTGCAAAATAACCACATCCTCCTTGGCTAACTTGTCTGCTTTGACAACATTTTGCAAAGTAGGGTTGTACCTCCAACTCTCATTTCTGTGTTGTGTACCTTGAGAGACCATATACCGGACTCACTAAGTCAAACCTCACTCCAGGGGCCGAAACAATTTGCTAAAGGTAATCGCTCTTCCGGCCAGCACAGTCAAACTGCCCCCCAAGGATATCAAGCATCAGCACAAAGTGGATTGTGTGTTATTGCACAGGTATGGCAGGAAAAGGACACGAAGTCATCGAAGTAACGTCAGCCGAAGAACAAAAAACTCAAAGCGCAATCCATATAAACCTGACACATCTAATGAACGCATTGACCACTGACGTCGATACGAGGGTAATGCCACTGATGACGTTGAGCTGTCAGCAACCCCGTCAAAAAACTTGATCCCAGCCTCATCTCCTTGAAGTACCTGCCATCTTTGACCCCTCACCTAGCGCTTGCGATACAAGTTGACATGACCTCATAGCGGGACTGCTCCAGTTTCTGCAAGCATGCTTAACAACTGGCACAAGCCAGAAAATCACTAAGAGGGGGTCCCATCTGTATCGCTTCAGCCAAAATTTCTCAGGAGACCACATCACACCCAAAAATACGTTCAGTGCATTCTGCAGAAGTCTGCTGTCACTCCAAAACAAGAAGGTACCCCTGGCAAGGGCATTCGCTCTTGTTGCAAACAAATGAAATAATACCTCGTGCAGCACCAGAGAAAATTCAGCATCCCCTAGATCATGCAAAGAAGGAGTATCCTGAACTAAAAAGACGGATTTCACCCCCTTGTTCTGTCAGTCTTTCAGAGCGATTGCTGCCGCAAGGCACCAAAAAAACTTGTGGTGGCCCAGTTGCAAAAGTGTGCATTGCTGCAAACTTCCATCCACCAAAGAAAATTGTGGATCCCGTGGCAAACTGCTGACCACCACACTATGCCAGAATTCAGGAACCGAGGCAAAGACGTAGGACTTGAGAGCTGCGTGCAAGCTGCTATAGAATAGACCTGCAATGGACCCCAAACCAGTTGTGGCCAGAGTCTTTGCCAATTGAGGTGCTTACTCCACCTCTCTGGTTGTATCAAAAATGCTGTCCTGAGTCAATAAAGTCTGTTGGCTGTTCTTAATAGCAAAAGGTTCACACCAGAAACTCCAGGTAGCTCATCAGGCCATCATACACTGCGAAGAGGTGGTGGTCCATTACGTTTTTTGCTAAGCTTCCTAGATGATGCCTTTGAGACCGTACCGCAAGGTACTCCGAAA